AGTAATCATCATTCGAGAATCATACGTCTGAATATCAAAGTATGCAACTAGATCGTGTGAAAGTCAATAATTGATATGTACTGCCACCGAGCTATCCCGGTTGTGGCAAGCACAACAATATATATCATAGATTTCATACCACCCGAGCTATCCCGGCCAGTGGAATGATCTTTCCACCCTAGCTATCCCGGACAGTGGGGAAAATGACCGGACTCTAACACGGTCAAATACGCACCATACCCGAGTAATCTCAGCTGATATGGGCTTAAGCGTGCCTCCCCGGGTGAAACACAAAGTAACCACCGAGTAACACGTATGGAAAGACGGAGTGCAATAGCCAATAATCTCTTGAAATTGATAAGGAGACATAACATGGATGAGTGTGGAAGCAAGTAACAAATAGATAACACATGTCTAGCAAATAGCAAGTTTAGTAGCCCCATAAACTCATAGTGCTTTTCGATACTCAAAAATCGAGCCAACTTAGGCTCTACGTCCATATAYGTCTAAACATCGTCCAACGGTCACTCTGGAAGGACCAAGTGAGCTTATTTAACACCTGTAATATGTACCCAAAGTTTCATAAAGATCCGACAACAAAAACTTCACCAAACTTAATTTAAACTCATTTTAGGCACTATAATTCACAGCTCAAAATCAACCTTTTATCAGTTTTTAGACGCAATAATAACCAACCTAAAAGCCTTATTTATAAAAAGTGTCTAAAGGACAGGTTTAGATCTACATATAAGCTTTCTAAAATGTCTAGAATCGTAGCAATCCGAGCTACGGTTAAGAAGTTATCGCACATTCAAAACAGCATCTCGGATAGATTCAGTGCTGTCAAATTCACCAACTAAATAGGCTAAAATCCATATTATGGATTCAATCTTTATTCCAACAATAAAAATACCATCTAACCATGTTTATATTAATGATTACAAGATCAATACTCAAGAATTTCACCAAAATAGTCATTAATGAAGAAAATCAAAGTTCAACCTATGTTCTTCATTTTCGAAAGCTCCAAATCATCAACCAAGCATCATAACAACTTAGTTAGGTTATAACCAATCTAAATACAACATATTACTAATATAACTCAGATTAGGTTTCATTGATTTCATCTCTAAGTAACTTCAAATTAAGAGATTAACCAATGAAATAGTTATACCTTAATTGGATGATGAATTTGGCATAAAAATCAAGCAAAAMCCCCTTGAAACAACCTTGAATCACCCTTATGAAGCCAAAATCACCCCTGGTAGTAAGTTTTGAAGATGAGAGTTTGTTTTGGGTGAAAAAGAAGGTAAATAACATGTATATCCGACTTTTACGAGTTGGGGCTGAGTTGACTTGGCTGAAAACTCGGTTTGACCACTAATCACTAAAAATCGCATAACTTTTCGCTCAGACCTCCGTTTTTTACGTGGTTTTCGCTCACGCGTTGGTAAAGAGATAATCTACAACTTAAAATAGAAATATTTCAAAAAATTCAGCTTTTATGTATCCGTAACATAGATATTGATGTTTTTGACCCGTTTCTTTCCAATTATTTTGCCTCGGGCCTCGTACGATGATTCCGACTATTTCATATATAGTT